AAAGAGAACGGGGGCTGCACGTCGACGGAGAGAGAGTGGGAGCTGCACATCGACGGGGAGAGCGGCCGAGATTTTCCCGTGGCCAAGTGCCGACCAAGCAGCATAGCGGAAGACCGCCATGTGGAGAGGGGCGCGGGCCGGCATGAGGCGCGGACCCCAGGGGACGGTGCGGAGGAGAGCGGGAAAACAGAGAGGGAGCTTCCGTCGGAGCAGGAGCAGGGGGCTCCAGACAGGGGAGCATGCACATGGTGGGTGCCATTTTGTCACCAGAGGACCTTCCGTGGCTGAGGGACGCCATTTTGAGGCAAGGGTGGGAGTGCGCGGAGGAGGCACGGCGATTGACGGAGCTGCAGGAGGCCGCTCCTAATCTGGCACAGGAGGTTCGCACAAAAGATTCCTTCAGAGGGAGCGGATGGAGGACGAGAGGCCCTATGCCTTCCAGGCAGCGCTGCTTGCACTGGGACGTGAGGCATACCCCCTCGTGAGTGAGGGGGCGCTCGACCTTTGAGTGGCGGAGAGGCTGCGGGGGCTGACGAGAAGATTGAGGGTTGCCCTGCCCTCTACCCTTGGCGAAGAGATTTCATCCTCAATGGTGGCCAGAACCATGCAGGTCTTCGAGGAGCAACAGCAGCAGGCAAGGTGGGAGGCCGCAGCATGGAGCCTACAGCATATGGTGGCGGTGGTGGAGGGCAGGGGGGCTCAAGAATCAACAACCCCGTGGGAGGACCCGCGGCGGGGACAGCTCCCTCTGCCTTGGAGACCCACGCCCAAGTGTTTAATGTGTGGTAGGCCACACTGCTGCGGAATGTCGGGGTGACGAGTAGATATCGGTAGAGTCACCCGTGCTTGTTGGGCCACCGGCACAGTCAACTCAAGCCTCGTTGGACTCAGTCTCTGAAGCCTACCGAGACCGCCAAGTGCGAGGTCAAAGGGACCGGATCCGAGTGGGCGATGCCGAGCGGTGAGGGGCCACGCCCGTTGAGCCAAGGACTCTGTCTCCATCATCTCTTGGCCCTCCGGGTTCCGGAGGTGCAGACCCTGCTGGGACGGGGGTGACCGGCGCCATGGACCGGATCACGTGAGCTATGTCCCCGAATGGGGGGACTCTCCCTTGCACTGAGAGGAGATCCGGGGGTGAAGGGGGGGTTGGGGTTAAGGGCCTGGGTTAAAGGGAGATGGAGGTGATGTGCCGATTCGTGAGTTCAGGGACGCCGCATTGTGTGTGGGGGGGTCGCCGATTCACGGATGGGGGGCGGTGAGAGAGTTGCCGATTTGTTAGTTCGGGGACGTCGGAAAGGGAGTGTTGGTTTATTATCGGGGGGTACCAGGTAGCAGTGGAATGTATTGTTGATTGCGGAGGATGTCGCGGTTGTAGCGGGATTGTGAGGGAGGTTTTTTTCTTTTCTCGTTTCTGTTTCTCGAGTTAAGGGGGTTGCCCTGCCTCCCTGCCAGTTGCTGCTGCTATATTAACAGCCGGGACGGCTGTGTTTTTTACGGGGGGGGAGGGGGGTAGTGGCATAGCGCTGCTGTACAGCAACTGCAGGTGGACACTTAGTGCACACGCCGCTGAGCACACACGTGGGTGTGCCGGCAGGGCAGAGAAACTGGGGCAAGGGTCACGGTAGACCTCGTGGGAAAGCCCCTGGAACCCTCTGGTGGGTTCCAGAAGGGAGGCGCGGCTATGGCGGAGCCAAGGCGCGCCGAGGGGAATATAAGCAGCAGAGAGCGAGAGCTCTGGGCTGCCGGTTCAGGAAGTGGACTCGTCTCTTCGTCGCTGTCGTCGTCGCCGCCCTCGTTGCTGCCGCCTACGCCCGATCATTGCGCGGCCGGACAGTAGTTGGCTGTCCCGGTCAATGCCGTCGGTGCAACACGGACAGGGTCGTGTCTGGGACGGGTCATGCAACAGCGTGGTCGTGAGAGAGAGGGGGCCCGAGTTGGTGGCGTGAACTCAACAACAATAAAAGGAGAGGACGGTGCCTCCTGTGACCACCTCGTGTCTGAGTGTGCAAAAGAACGAAGAGGAGACGCACGACACTACACTACTGTAGTGACTGTACTTGTCACTGTATGGTGCCGGGACTTGCGAAATCACGGCCGCTAATATTGTCATTGCGGGCAACCCAGGTTGCAGGCTGCAGTTGGGTGAGCGCGGGTTAGCGCGGAGGTACCGCGAGCAGCGTGCGGTGCCGGCTCCCAGTGAGGGAGCGAGAGCGAGCGCCAGCCAGCCAGGGTTACTCTGGGGCATGATACTCTGGCTGACCTGTTGTCACGTGACCGGAGGATACTGGAGGCGGGCCACCGGTGGACGGGGGCCGAGGGGCGGTCACGTGGTCCCGGAGAGCTCTCGGGAACGTTTGAGAAGGGGTCCGAGGAGCCTGGAAGGTGGGCGGGGCTAAGGGCGGGGCTGAGGGCGGAGCCAGCCCCTGCCCGGGGGTATATAACGAGAGCTCCGTGAGGAGCTCGGGGTTCTTCTTCAAGTGTTGGTGTTGGAAGATCCACGTCGGGGAGAAGAAGCCTCTAGCCACGCGGTCCGGGACCCAGCTTGCGGTCCAGACCGGGATAGCGAACCGTGTCTAGTTCTGCCGTAGCGTGGCTAGATGGGCATTCGAGACCCGAGCGTAGGTTGTGTTATGTTGGTGCTGTTGTGTTAAAGTGTTGCTCCCAAGTTAACGGTCTGCGACTCAGTTGGACTCACTACACTAGTAACGAATTGGCACGTTCTGCTTACGTGACAAACCTTACTAATTGGCTGTGTCGGGTGTTGGCGGGTTTAACGACACTTTTATATTTACGCGATTTAACCCCCCCCCCCCAAAAAACCCCTGTGTTATGGATATTGGTCGTGAATACTGACGCACCGGCGTGTCCGCTCCTCGCTGCTGCTGCTGATGGGAACTTAAAACTACTCAGTCCACGAGAGATCTCACGACTTTTTTTTTCCCCTACCAACAAGAATGTTTTGTCCAAGCAACATTCCAGGAAATACGGGCAAAAACATGTTTTTGCAAAAACATGTTTTTGCCCGTATTTGTTTGTGTTTCACCCTTGCGATGGGTCCTTGTAGGCTGAACGTTGAGATTTATAAGGGCACGGGGTGACAGGTCCTGAATTGGTCCGTAATAAGGTAGCGCAATTGATTAGGGGTTGACAGGTCTGTTGATTCCCAAACCTTCCTGGACCTGCGGATCGCTGGTCAACCATCAACAACACAATAATCCTACCACCATGCTGTAACAAATAAAAAGCGTGTACAAATGTGTTTTATGGTTATTTCGGCACGTTGCACTACCGTACTGTACAAGAGACCACTGGAGCTATGCTGAAAGCCCATGACTTTTGAACTGTTTGTGTGTTTAATTTGTTGTCCTTCCCCCGCACCTCCCATTACCGAGGTCGGCCACGTACGGTGCGAAAGAAGTTCACACGCGCGTACAGTACGAATCGAATGCAAATCGAAATAGCGAATCGCGTTTCGTATTTCTCGGCACCCGTAGCTGCGCGGTGCATGCTGGGACCACCTGAGCTTTGGCGGGAAAATGGAGGCGGGCGTCGAGCTGCGGTGAAGGCGGCGAGTCCCAGTGAGTGAGTCCCAGTGAGTGAGTCCCTTGAGACTGACTGAGTCCCAGTGAGTGAGTCCCTTGAGACTGAGTCCTAGTGAGTGAGTCCCAGTGAGTGAGTCCCTTGAGTTCCTTGAGACTGAGTCCTAGTGAGTCCCTTGAGACTGAGTCCCAGTGAGTGAGTCCCTTGAGTTCCTTGAGACAGTCCTAGTGAGTGAGTCCCAGTGAGTGAGTCCCTTGAGTTCCTTGAGACAGTCCTAGTGAGTGAGTCCCAGTGAGTGAGTCCCTTGAGACTGAGTGAGTCCCTTGATTTCCTTGAGACTGAGTCCTAGTGAGTGAGTCCCAGTGAGTGAGTCCCTTGAGACTGAGTGAGTCCCAGTGAGTGAGTCCCAGCGAGTCCCTTGAGACTGAGTGAGTCCCAGTGAGTGAGTCCCTTTGGTATGAGTCTCAGTGAGTGAGTCCCGTGAGCCTGAGTGATTCCTCAGAGTTCCCCGAGTGTCCCCTACGAGTTTCCCTGAGAGCGTGAGCCCCCCCCCCCCCCCACGAATAGCACGAAGTGTCCCTTTGAATAACCTGCCCGAGTCCATGAATTCATCGATGTCTCCCCGAGCACCGCGAGTTTTCCCGTGAATCTCTTTCCCCGAATTCAATGGCAGTTCACTTGTGTCTCCCCTGAGTAGCACGGGCGTCCTTAAGTCACCGTGAGTTTACCGATTCTCTTTCTTCCTGGGTAACGCGAAGTCCCCATGCGAATCTCCCAGGCTAATCTCCCCGAGTCTACCTCACGCTTTGTACATAAAGACTTTAGAACCCGTGTCTCTTAACACGCCGGTCAGTTAGAGCGGGGAACATTGACGTGGGAATTTTGAAGGACAGTACAACAGGCGGCATATTGCTGGACTGTTGACTATTGCCCACAGCGTAGCAGCACAGCTCTGTAAGAAGCCTATGACAACCTTGCGTGCATGGCGGTCACCCCATTCAAACACCTGCCAGGTTAAACCCGTACTTATATATTCTGAGATCTGATAAGAGCGAGCTGGTAATCTTCATTCACCACCATGTGAAAAAAAAATAAAACCCAATTTATTTTTGGAATCACGATCTGCAATCGCATCTTGGTCAGAGGAGGGGGGAGCACATTGTTGCACGTCTAGTGATTGAGCATCCAGGACGCTGGTTGATAACCGTGTTGTGTTTGTTGCTTTAGTTGTAATGGGTGTGATCGCATCGCCGGCGTGTCCGTGCTCTATAGATGCTTGTGCGCCGGAAGAAGCGGCATGGCGAAGCCGAAGAGGTACGCTCCCCTGCAGGGCAAGCGGTTTTACCTGGACGTGCAGAACCAGCGGCAGGCTACTCACCTGGAGAGAGAACTGCAGCAGCTTGGAGGGGTGAGGATACACGCTCAGTATGTGTGTGTGTGTATTGAACGTCTTTCGCACCGTACGTAGCCAAGCGTGCTAATCGGATGTGCGGGGGAAGGACAACATACTAAACGCAAAAAGCAGTTCTAAAGTATGTAGGCGAAGCGAAGGCTTTATTCGGTATTACCTAGTTGAATGTAGGGATGTTTATTATCCGTCCCCGCAACTCCGATCACCTCGGTTGGCTACGTACGGTGCGAAAGAAGTTCAACATATTTACATACGCCATCCCCTTTGTCAATATCCAGCTGGATAAGTAAGGGCCTTCGCACGACATGTAGGTCCTGGGGTATTTTTGACCACGTGTTATGCCGCTGGTCAGTGTGGGTTGGTGAAGGTGGGAGATCGGGTACATTTTGAGTGATTTGGTTAGCAGCGGCCTCTGAATTAGTTGTGTTCGTGACTCGCTGCACGGGACTTAGAGGCGTGAGCATGTAACGATGCATTCGTTGTTTTATTTCCTTGTTCATCCAGGTAATGTTCCATGGAAACTCGAAGCATCTTTTGCAAGGTGAACGTGGCTAAACTGTGCAGTTTATAGAGTTATATTTAATTATGTGCTTTTGCATTAAATCTTGATAGGTGTTCATGTAGCCAAGGGGAGAACAGATGAGCACACAATGACAGTTTGCTCTGTAGAGATGTTGCACTTTATTTGTCCTCCACATTATGTGATGGACAAACTGCTGAAGCTGCAAACCCAATGGTTTAAATAATGTGCAGTTTGAGATATGACTCAGTAGGATAAACAAGTGTGAGAATGCATGTTAATGTGACACCTTAAAATGTAGACATATTTCGATGATTTATAAATCCAAATTGTACTGCCCTCGCTGATGGTTGCCTGAGGTCACAGATGACCGTGATGGATTTGACTTAATAGTGCCTGTGTCTCATAACACTTATAACTTCTGCAGATTGTGGAGAGGTTTCTGAGTCGGGACGTCAACTACTTGATCACCAGCCGCAGGGAGGTTGTGACAGACAGCAGTGGTCGGCCTGCTGCTGTTGCTGCTGTTACTGCTGCTGCGCCGCTCGGAGGGCCACTGACTCCCTCCAGCACAAGCTCCACGCTTGGCCTGGGAAAGACCGGCAGTGCTGCCGCGAGCTTGGCAGTCACTGTGACAACGCCGGTCACGTCTGGTGGCCCGACAGCTATAATCGGCGCGCCCAATGACGAGAGGCCTACCTCCAGCTCTACGATGCAGAGGACTCAAACGGCGCAGGCCCGGACCACTAAACATTGCGCTTTCATCGCGCGGCCCACGAAGGAAGCGCCTGAAACCGGCGCCGCTGCGGGAAGCAAGCAGCGGCAGTGCGCCGGAGTGCTGAATCGCTTTGTCGCAGCCGTGAAGTTGGGAGGGAGGTCTCAGCCCGCACCGCAGCTCAGGAACGGGTGTCGGGCAGGTGTCGAGGGCAGTGATGCGAAACCATCTGTCACGGCCTCACAGCAGCAGCAGCAGCAACAACACAAACAGCAGCTGGTGCTGCAACAGCAGAAAAAGCTTCATCTACCGGCACTGCTCGTGAGTGCAGTGCACATCCACAAGTTCATAGTTAGTGAGGACGGTGAATGTTTGAGATGGGTCTCTGGGAGGGTTTAATTGGTTGTCAAAAATAGCACAAAATTCCTTAGCACATCAACTACAATCTAAACAAAAGTTTACTTTTAAGACAATAAATGCATAACCTCTTAATATATATTTTTGTCTGGCGTTTATATGTTTGTTATAAGAAAATTACCAATAGAGGTTTTGGTTTTAGTTAAACAGCTGGATATCTCCAACTACATGGACAATTTGAAATATGTATGTATTTGAAGTATCCTGCTTGTCCCTTGCAGGTGAGCCGTGGAAAGAAGTTGGTACAGAAAGCCATGAAGACACAGGTTTGTGCTGCCTTGTGAATGCACACATTTGATTTCAATGAATCCTACTGTGCTTGCATCTAATTCGTGGCTACGTGAAATTAAGCACCACTAAATAGTTATTTTTCATTTCCTAAGAACTTGTGTAAATGATTCAAATACATATTTAATTCATTGGGCGGTGTGTCTTAATGCTTGAAGATATACATTGTTTAAGCATCACAACATTGAATTGGTTTTGCCTCAACCTAGTTTACTTGGCAAGGTCTTACCTCATTAGCCAGTGCCTCTGGGTACTCTGATATTATGGCAGAAGTAGATACCCATGTACGGTCTGGTCCCAGTAGTTGAGGTTTCTTGCTGCTTAAGAAATATGTTGTAAGAATAATACATAGTATGAAATAAACCTCTAACTTAAACTGGATGAACTTTCTGAATCATCAAGACGAGATTTTGTTTTAGAACACTTACACGTAGGTGTAAGCCATGACCGTGGTGGCTTCTAAACCCTTGTGATTGCTGTGGCGATGCGCTTTCCCCTGCATGTCTGTGTGGCACGCTCTGCTTGTGCGCATGCTCAGGAAAATGTAGGCGCCGACCTGCTTGCCAATGCTCGCTCCTGGGGCGTGAAGATCATACACATGGATGGTATCCCTTTTGCTGCCCTGTGCCATTGAAAAACTAAACCAACCACAATATCAGGTGAATTACCAGCATCTTGGGGAAAGTGTTCAAGAGAATTGTGATGGGACAAATATTTTCCAAAAAATTGCACAGTTTTGCCAAGAGTGTAATATTTGGAAGTAAAAAAATGACAATTTAATATGATAGGCAATATTCACGAATAATGTTTATTTAATTTTGTTTGAAATAGAAAGTTTTAACATCAAATGTTCAACAAAAAGCATGAAAGAAACGATGAACAGAAATGATTAAATAAAACAACTAGATGCAAAAGCAGGCAAACTTTTCTTGCTGGGGTAAGATGATGGGTTTTCATCCCTAGTGTCGGTGTACACGTGGTGTCCACTTTGTGACACTTGTGAGTCCTTAATGCATCGCACCCAGCTGCCCTCAAGTACCTGGAGAAGAAGAGATGCGAGGCTGGGAACCCCCCACCGCCAGGGCCCCATGTCCAGGTGAGCTGTTTCTCCGGCATGTAAAACATTACCATGTCTACAAATACGGTTCCTCTATTTCCATTTAGGACAGAGGTGGGGTACCTTTTCTTTTAAAATACCTTTTGGGGGGGCATACATTGACATACCTCTGTCACTGCTGTCACTGAACGGAGCCCTTGCAGTGACAGAAGTGACTTGTGACTCATCGTACTAAAATGAGAAAGGGTTGCCACGTTAAAAATATGCCAATGAATTTCGGTAAAATGCTTGCAGGAAGGGACAGATATTGTTTGTGAGCAGTTTCAAAGTACTAGGTCCTCCCAGCTGCGGGCTTATCGGTTCATAATCCTGGATGTAGGTGTCTACCTGCAGGGTTTCTCTATCTCCGTATAGGGTGTCTGAAGTCTATAAGGCACAGAGGTAACCCTGTAAATAGGGTTACCAGCCAGGGCATTGAAAATGGGTCGTGGATGGGTATTCCAGCATGACAATGACCCAAAACACACGGCCAAGGCAACAAAGGAGTGGCTCAAGAAGAAGCACATTAAGGTCCTGGAGTGGCCTAGCCAGTCTCCAGACCTTAATCCGATAGAAAATCTGCGGAGGGAGCTGAAGGTTCGAGTTGCCAAACGTCAGCCTCGAAACCTTAATGACTTGGAGAAGATCTGCAAAGAGGAGTGGGACAAAATCCCTCCTGAGATGTGTGCAAACCTGGTGGCCAACTACAAGAAACGTCTGACCTCTGTGATTGCCAACAAGGGTTTTGCCACCAAGTACTAAGTAATGTTTTGCAAAGGGGTCAAATACTTATTTCCCTCATTAAAATGCAAATCAATTTATAACATTTTTGACATGCGTTTTTCTGGATTGTATTGTTATTCTGTCTCTCACTGTTCAAATAAACCTACCATTAAAATTATAGACTGATCATTTCTTTGTCAGTGGGCAAACGTACAAAATCAGCAGGGGATCAAATACTTTTTTCCCTCACTGTATGAAGGGGAAAATTGTCTCCTTCATATGTCTGGCTCTTCAGATGTGCACTTTTTAGGAAATAAAATCATTTGAAATAGATGATGGGCCTTGCCATGGACAGAAATGATTCCATTGTACATATTTAGTACATGACATGTAACCATGATTACCACTAGTCATTTAACACAATAGCAGTTTAAACTACAGTTAGTACATGTTCTCATAAAAGTTGAGTTATTTTATCATTCATAATTTAAAACATTGATATTTAAAAAAAAACTTAGGTCATTGTAAGATTTTTATCCTAAAATATTTAATTCTGCAATTCTAACATAAATAATTATTTCACTTGTGCAGTCGCCTATCTTAACTCTGGTGTCCGTATATTGTTTTTACACAGCCTGCACCTCAGCCTGGCAGTGCCACACACAAGCACATTAGCAGTGAGTGGAACACACCCATATCGCACGCACGCAGTCAAACCACTCACATGCCTTCATGTCTCCCGCATAAACTTATCGGTGTGCTTCACATAGCCGTTGCTGACTTGTGCACTATACTTAGCCATGGAGTTAACCACAATCCTTGTGATCAGTGATGCCAGCCAGCACGCTTTGAAAAAGTGCCTGGTGGGTATACTTTTAACAAAATATAACGGGTCCCTGCAGGGTGGGCTGGTAGAAGTTCGCAAATGAGATAATGTGACTTCCAAATGTTGGGTGCAATAAGACATATCAAGTCTCTGCGCTGTCTATTGCTGATTTTACACCCAACAGCACGAGATTTCACTTCGTTAAAGTATTGAAAGGGGACAGACGGACGGACACATTAATCTATTGCAGGCTGGTACACTCAGTTTACAACTTCGTTCCTACCAGTAAAAATATAACCTGACTCAGGCAAAGTGAATGTGGAGTAATTTAGTTGGCTCTCAAGTCAGAGAAGAAAATAAGTGCTGGTCACTACCAACACAATCTGTCCGCTACTACCTACCCATTCATGTACAGCTGCAGCAGTTCTTACGTTTACCTGGTGTCTGTTCGTATATGTGTTTGTTAAGCTTCATTCGAGGTTTGTGTGTGTATGCCAAACAGGTATTAAACTGCAAAAGCCATTCATCAAGGTGGAAGACTGTAGTCAGTGAGTTGTTCACTTGGGGCATCGCATTAATTTATTCACACTTTTAGAAAGAACATCTTGAATTGCATTTATTCCAGAAATGTTGGTGAAACAGTGTCACAGTGCTTGGTGCACTGTGCTTTTAATCTGACGACTCGAGCCTATTGTTGGTCATGGATAAGATTATTAGCAAGTGAAAACTGAACCGGTCCTGGGTACCCCCTTTACTCAGTTTGACAGCAGTGTGCAGTGCAGACATGGGCAAAGTACGGCCACCGGGCTGTATACGGCCCGTTGGGCTTTTTAATCCGGCCCGCCGAACTTGTCCAAATATTATTAAATTAAAATTTACCTTTCTCCTGTAATGCCCCCATTTCCCCATTAGATGGCGCACTTTGACCGGGAGTTTCGACATGTTTTTGTATTGTTCATGTTCGTGCAATTTGTTAAATTGCCTTGCAAATAAATGCCTTGCCACCTGTTAAAGGCCAAATCCTTTCATGTAATGATTTTTACACGTCATTTATATTAGTTCACACAAACACTCCATCCATCTGTTCCTGGCCCGGCCCCTCTGTCAAATTTTAGAACCCATTGTGGCCCGCGAGTCAAAAAATTTGCCCACCCCTGGTGCAGTGTATGTCTATTTAAATTCTGAGAATTATCCTCGGTAAAAAGCATCCAGATTATTTCACGCACGTTTACATATGCCAGGGGTAGAGAATTTGTACCCTACCGAGGCTCTAATAGGACTTTAATTTACCTTTGGTGGGCCACACACGAACATACATCTGAGTCACTTATGTCACTGCTTGGTTAATCTAAATTATAACATTTTTGCCAGGACCAAAATATAAAACTCTCGTTCCCAATTAGTGTCGCTAAGATGTAGCGATGGAAAAATATTGTTCTTAGGCCATTGCAAAGTGGTAAGCCACATGTGGTTGCGGGTAACTTGAAATGAAGTGGGCCTACGGGGCTATTGGTTCTTCACGCCTGCTCCACAACTTTGAACACACAGGTAGCCACGGTGAGCTGACAGTGACGTGCGTGTGCGTGACCAGGCACTATCGCCCAATGTTCGTGCAGCTGGGCTGCTTCCCGTGGATAAACACTGCATCGCCGCGTGGCAACTGCCCCTTCGAGCTTGAGATCCTCCCAGCTGGGCCCTCCCAGCAGCAACTGCAGGAGCAGAAACAGCAGCAGGAACTGAAAATTAAGCAGCAGAAGCAGCAACAGCAGGACCAACAGCAGCTGCTCGTCATGGAAAACAAAAGGTAATAATTCTAGATTTGGCACAATTTAGTAGGGCTGCAAAAATTTCCCTGCTTTCATGATTTGTTGAATTATAATGAATTGAGGTAATTTTTTTAAATTACGGATAAAAAAAATATTCTTTTTTTGAGATTTGATTGTAAAATGTAATTGTTATTAAAGACAATGGATATTTCATAAACGTAAGTTTTTATTTATTTAAAGAGTTTCAGGTGGCGATAGGAGTACATTTATGTATTGGTTTACTTTGTGGAGAAACGAGTCTAAATCATATGGGTAAATAAAAATGGACTGATTTTGTGATTTTCAGACAGGCATCGGAAGCATCTGTAATTAACTATTACCTCTACCCATGGGCACCAGGTGTGATTGATTGAAAGTTTTCTCTTAAATTAAATGCAATGGCCACACTTTAATACGTCCAGTCAAAATATCTTCCTAAATAAGTGACCTGTCAGCAGTGCTCATCTCTGTTGACAGCGTTGAGCCGAATGTATAAATTAGACATTCCTGTGACAGGCGCCCTTCTGTGCATGTACATGATTGAAGCGGGCATGTGAAACACATGAGGTGTCCAGGTCAGTTTTGCTCCAGGTGCCAACTTGCACTCATTTGTGTTGCGACTTGACCCTGCAGAGCCGAGACTAATGCTCACACGAAGGCGGCAGACAAGCCGAGTGCGCGTGACGGAGGCTGCAAGAGAACGGGAGGCCCCGCTCAGGGTCCGCCCTGCCGGCCCAAGCATGGCTACTGCGAGTGCTGCTGCCTCACCTTCCAGCAAATGCAGTCGGTGAGGACTCCTCACCTACCCACTCACCTTTTGGCCAGATAGTCCGCTTGCTAACCTTCCTAATGGCCCACCCGCAGGTAAGCACACGGGTGGGCCAGCAGCCCGCTTGCCGAACCTGCCCGCTGGCTTACCTGCATGCTCACCTGCTTGGCTGTTGCCCTACAAATCGGTCATCTTACTGTCCTGCTCGAGCATTGCTTGTATACTTCAGAATCAGAATATTTATTTATACTGGAGCTATAAAGCTCGTTTTCACAGATGTATCTGCTGTCCAGCGACAGCAGATACATCTGTCCAGAGGCAGCAGAGAAATGAGAACAGCAAAACTTATGACACCTTCAGGGTAAACAAGGGGTAATTGACAGGTTTGGGAAGAAAGATTGTCACATCACATTGGGATTATCGTAAAGATTTGTTCTTATATAAGAATCTTATAAAAAAATAAATGCATTTACGTTAAGTGTGACTGTAACATTCCTCAACTGACCTACAACTTATATGTGCTCCCATCTGAACTTAACAATTAATATTAGGAGTCACAATTATTTTATTTCCTCTATCAAGGCCAAGGGAATAAAGTTATCCGGTCTGCATTTGCAAGCTGCATATTTTGTCGGTCCACGAGGCATGCTGAGAACAAACACAATGTGACTCACATCAGGTGCTTTTTGTCTTCCGTGTCCACCGTAGCATATGCAAAACGAAGGCCATCGGTCCTTTGCCTTGGACGATACAAACTACGTGGAGCTCGACGCTATAATCCGCCAGCTGGAGATGAGGAGCTCTGCCAGTCCCACAGCAACGCTCGGCAGGTGAAAAAAAAAATCAATCTCACGTCCAACTGCGATTCTGGCATGACGGCTGTGATGCAGCTGTTCTAATGAAAACCGACTGCTAAATTGTTGCAGAATAAACTATAATCCAAACTCAACTTAACCCTAGTGTAACCCAAAACTAACCTAGATCTAATCTTAGCACTAACCCAGGGCTTAACTTAATTCTAACCTAAACCTAACTTAATTCTAAACATTACCTAGTTTAGTTTTAGCTCCATCATAATGAAACTCTAAACTCATCCTGAATCCTAACTTAACCGTAACTTTAATAGAACCCCTTATCCCTTAATCTCTCATCCAAGCTTTAGACTAACTTATTAACCATTACCCTATAATTAACGTTAAATGTAACTTAACCCGAACACAAGTCTGAGATGTAACCCTATATTAATAAACACTCACCTTAACCCCGACCAAAGTCTTAACTGTAGCTGTAACCTTAACCTAACCTAGTACTAATATTAAACCCTAACCTTTCCATACCACTAACTCAATACCAAATACTAACCTACCTCAACATCACCTAACCTTGAACCCACATTTATCCATAAACCCATACGCTGCCTAAGTCTAATTTTAATCCTTAACATTGACACTTCATTGAAATAACTTACTATTTATGCTACATTTGTGAATTAATAGTATAACATTTTTGTACGTTTGCACATACTCATTACATATTCCATTCGATGATTCCATTTGTGAATCATTTTGATGTTTGTATGAGATTCACTTTGGACCATATTGTCTTCATTTCCCTTCACTTGACAGCCGTTCATCTCCACACATAGAACCCGAAATGGGCAGTTTGAGTGTTTAACTCTGATGCTTTCCTTTTGTGCAAGTTGAAATGAGTTCAAACTTGATTTGAAGCTTTCGTGACTGCAGGAATTAATCTCTGGGTCTTTCGGTAAAGTCACGTAGAAAGAAAATAAATTAAGTAATAGAATACGACGTTTCGACTGCAACACGAGCAACCGTCATAAGGTAGAACTAAATTTGAGAGAGAGACAAAACACAGACAGGGAGACACACAGACCGACACACAAGCAGAGAGCGGCAACGCAGAGACACAGAGAGACACACAACATAGACACACAGAGACCCGATGCCTCTGTGTCGAGGACTTAAATCGAGAGAGGGGGGGGGGGTGGGGCAGAGAGAGAGGTGGGTCTGCTGGAGCCGAGAAATTAGCATGTCAATAAAAGACCCAACAACACTGGTACATTTTAGAGAGAGTTGTGTGGAAATCCATCCAAAGCGATCAATGGAGAGAAAGAGCAATTGGACCTATGAGAGCCTGGTAAATTTTAGAGAGAGAAATGGGCAGTTTGAGAAAACAAAATTTAGCAAAAATGTTTTTGGCAATGTAATGCAATGCAACACAGTCAGCTAACACACAGTTAACACATAGTCTGGTTGATTACGATCTCCAAAGATTGCTAAATTTTGAAGTTGTGTGAAATTTGACAGAGACACAGAGAGATGTGTGGAAATCCACCTCGAAACGGCCGGGGGAGAGAAAGAGCAAATGGACCTTTGAGAGCCTGGTAAATTTTAGAGAAATAGGCAGTTTGAGAAAACCACTTAACTTCTAATTTTAGCAATCTTTGGAGATCGTAATCAACCAGGCTTTGCGTTAACTGTGTGTTAGCTGACTGTGTTGCATTGCATTACTTTCCAAAAACATTTTTGCTAAATTTTGTTTTCTCAAACTGCCTATTTCTCTCTCTAAAATTTACCAGGCTCTCATAGGTCCAATCGCTCTTTATCTCCCTCGGTCGCTTCGGGTGGATTTCCACACAACTCTCTCTAAAATGTACCAGTCTTGTTGGGTCTTTCATTGACATGCTAATTTCTCTGCTCCAGCAGCTGCTACAGCAGACCCACCTCTCTCTCTGCCCCCCCCCCCGTCTCTATTTAAGGCCTCGACACGGAGGCATTGGGTCTCTGTGTGCCTATGTTGTGTCTCTCTCTGTGTGTCTCTGTGTTGTCTCTCTGTGTGTCTCCCTGTCTGTGTTTTGTCTCTCAAATTTAGTTCTACCTGATGACGGTTGCTCGTGTTGCAATCGAAACGTCGTACTCTATTATTTAATTTATTTTCTTTCTACGTGACTTTACTGATTGAACCAAAGAGTTGAAATGGGTTGTAGAGTAATTATCAAGTGGGAATGCAGCTGTGGGATTATAAAAAAAAATCCCTCATGCTATGGGACAGACCTTGGTGCACTGATACTCATGTATGCGTCACCTTCCTGCTTCTGTCCTCTGCCAGCATTCATCCCGAGTCTTCAAGGCCAAGGCAGGTGTATCAGCAGGAAAGAAGTCGACCTTCTCATCGTGCAGACACTGGGGCGGCCTTGATGGCCACCTTGCATGGCAGTGGTGGTGGTGGTGGAAGTAAGGGCAATAGAGCTGCTGGCATCGGAAGCAGTGAAAGAAAATGTGATATAGGTGGTAGAGGTGAAGGTGGCATCAGTGGCGATGGAAGCAAATGTGGTGGTGATTCTGGCCTCTCCCAAACGCGACCTTGTGCTACCAGCATAGAGGCCACTAACACTGCCTGTGTAGGAAGGACCGGGAGTTTCAGCCGTGCCTCCTTTGCCACGAAGCTGCCAAACGATGTCATGCCATTGTTGTCCCCATGCACTGCGGCAGAGAGCTTCTCTATGCTGTCCCATAATAATCTGGAACCACCTCGGCTCCGAGCAGAGAGGGTTTCAGCTTTCGCCAATGCGGCCACGTCACGCCAGTCACCAGTGGCCAAGTGTTTGTCAAAAGCCAAGAAGCGCAAAGCGAAATTAACTGCGGAACTTCCGCCATCCAAAGTGGCCAGGCTTGATCACTCTGAGAGAGGGGAAGGAGGGATTGTGATGTCGACCTGGAACTCCGCAGCCGGCGACATGGAATGCACAGCAGCGGATGCTGACTACTCACACGGGATCAGGGGCTGTGCAGATGGTGGGGAAGCGCTTGGCCACTCCATGCCCACCGCAGGTGCTGCTCCCATACGGCAGGCAGACGATGTTAATGTTTTGCAAGTCACTGATGGAACAGTAGATCGAACTTGGCTCAACAGCACTGAGGTACAAGCGGAGGCCCCCTGGTGGGAGAGGAATTCAGCATTGGAGGCGACAGATGAGGGCGCAATACCACTTTACCTCCAGCTGCTCCAGATTTTCCGGACGAGTGAGATGGACTCCTTTGAGGGATTCCATTTGGATGGTGACGAGGTACAGGAGCAGCAGGAGAAGCAGGTTGCGGAGAGCACAGGCTCCCACGAGGACAAGCAAGGAGGACTGACGCTGCACATCGCCCAGGACAGCAGGGATGAGCAAGACGGTACTCGCTACATAGGCAGTGGCCTCCCAGGAGATGCAGCTGAACACAACAGCCCAGCTGATAGCACAGCAAGGGCGAGCACACGAAACAGAACTCCGACGGAAGCCAGCAGCAAAACTGCTGGGTTGCCCGAGCAACCCAGCAGTGGCCAATCTGGTTCCAGATGTTCAGCCCCCACAGTACAGATGACTTCACGTGGAGATGTAAATCAACTCCAGGGCATCGCAGTCTCTTCAAAGAGCAGCTCTGAATGGGACCCGCTGCTCCCTTCACAAGGGAAGCAGCGAAAGGTGGTGAACGGCGCGTATGATAACCTGCGCAACGTGTGCGTGGACGTGACCGATATGGACTATCAGGCACACCTGGAGGCCGTGCTAGGGGCCAACCTCAACCCCAAGTGACGTCTGTACCCGCATACTCGCGCAACCTTGGCCAGAGAGGCTCACCATACTCTACAGTGCTGCCTGGATGCAGTAGAGCAGGGGGTGGGTAACCTGAGGGCCGAATAGGACGTTTTAGATATGTTTGGCGGGCCACATTAACACACACCTCAGTCACTTCTCTCACTGAAAGAGGCACTTGCAGTTACAGAAATAACTTGAGTGCATTCAAATAACCAGTGGTGAAAAATATTTTAATCTAGTACCCTATTAATTTGGCTATGGTAGCGATGGATAAAATATCGTCCGTGGCCAGTTTCAAACTGGTAGGCTTCAACGTGGCCGTGTGCTGTATGAAATAAAGTTGCGAGCCGTATCCGACCTACAGGTCGTAGATTCCGCACCCTTTCGCCCCCTTAAATTCACTGTCACGTTACAATGGAGGGGTGTTTTGTGACAGGGGATCCTCAGAGGAGCGGTCTTATGCCTTAAAGATGCAACCCATAAAATGAATAGCCCTTGGTAGATGCACTTGGGCAGTTTCCCACGCCGTCTGATACATTGTCGTTGATGAAATAAAAAATATAAATCACAGGTGTGCTCTAGTGACACACTTTGGCATCGCTTTTGTTATAGCATAATTATTTTTCCTAACAAAGTTTTAAAACTCGTGTTGGACAGTCCAGGAAACAACACAGGAATGTATCTACAAGGGATATTTATTTTGGGTTGTCTTTAATGAGCGATGGCACAAACCAGCATTAAATTCTAGCGGCGTTTATGCAGTCAGAAGCAGTACCTCAGCGGTTTGATGTTGCCAATTGTGTGATGTGAAGCGTGCCGAGTTTGCTGTTGCATTTTCCGCAGACGGTGGAAATGTCGGTGCTATTTGTTTGTGCTTCTCGTCCTGAATGATGAGTGCCTTTACCTTCTGCTGATTGGTTTACATTATATACGCGTGATGTTGGGCGAGGGACAGATTCCTGTGGACGTGTGTCCACCAGAGCCAAACCGTGTTTACTTTAATGAAGTGTGGTGTAGTTTAGCGGCTGCCAAGCACAGCTGCTTTTGGCAACATGCATCAATATATTTGAATGGATGTAACAGACACATGCTTCAATTGTAATCTAAAAGTACACAATGGGACTTTCAGGAGGAATTTATTTTAATGAAGTGACAAGTCATTGACATTTTCTTCTCACAAGTACCTCCTGATGGCAGACTTAGCCCATTCATATCACCATGTAGGTTTTTAGCAGTGAATTAAAACACGTTTAACTTACATGTTGTTTGAGTTAGCATGCATACATACGATCGCAGATCACCAGTGTCCTATCGTCATTGGTCATCCTTTTAGTTTTAACAGCTCATGGGTCAATGCCAGAAGGCAGTGGCTTCTGCCAAGGCTTTACCCCATTGCTGCAATGTGACGAAATAATAAAGAGCATCTCCGCAGGAGTGAGGGTTCATCTCAACGTGGCGTCCACAAATGCCTAGTTGTGCGAGAATTGTGCCTAATTGAATCCACGTCCGCGCTGGAGGCACTCAAGTTGTGCTCATTAATTCACCTAGACCTGCCGCTCACTCGGCAATAACATTATTACTGGCACGTCGTGTTGCAAGCAAAAAAATAGCCATTTTCCAGTATTGATGACATTCTCAAAACTTTGGCGGCTTGGATAAATCACATTCGTCAAAATGTGAATGTCCGTCATTTATCGTAATGAGAAGCACTTAACCCATACATGTCACGTCACAGTGCCTGGAGTTGATATATATGACTTGGGATTATTTGCATTTTGGTCTTCGTGATTTTCTAAGTTTCTTAAGCGCCGAAACTCACGACAGTGTCGTCCTGTGAATCTCAGGTAATATATTAACTACAAAACCTCTCTACCTCTGCTGGCTACCACAACCACCATTCGTGAAACCAGTGATGTGCAGTTTACTTTCGGGTTTGGTAGTTACACTTGTTAGGCTGCTGCAGTTCCCCCAGTTTTGAGCCCACAACCGAATAAACGACTTTATTTTGTAAGGTACATACACCAAGAGTTGTGTCCCAGGCTGTCTTACACACATTTGAAGCATATTTAATGGAAGACGGTGATGAAAGATTAGGATTAAGGAAGTGTGTAAATTACCGAGATTGTCAATATATTTTCAAGACTTACAGTGATGGTCAGGGAAAGTTATTTTGATGCCAATCAGTTGTCACCATTCCATACCGTCATCTAGTGATGTCACTACATTGCTCCTGACTAAATTTAAATGTATTTTTCTTTCTAAGTTTCAAGCCGATCCATGCTAGCAAATCGTTTTTCATTTGTGCCTTCCTTTAACTAGCATAGGTGCATTTATACCTGTGCACCCACAGCAATTCTGGAATGGGATAAGAGTTAAACAAAGAGCCACTAACCAGAACCAGTCTCAGCCCCGAGGCCAGAGCAGAAACTCAACCACCTAAAGTAGTAAAAGTTTAGAAGCACCGATTTATGTGGCCAGTGAGTGAATTACATAACCTACTCCGTTTCAAATGGTTATCAGAAAATTTACCATTATCCACATTCGGAAATTGGAACCACTACATTTATGCCACCCCAAGGGGTACTTGGCAAGTGAAATGTCTGGGCTCATGATGAGGCTGTACCAGCACTGCTTGCAGCCTCAATTGGCAGAGCAGTGAAACAAATCTCGTTGAGGGCTAGAGGCTGCCCACAGGAAACTCAGCTGCTGCAACAATCACATCGGTCGATACAAAAAAATGACCAAATAAAAAGTATGTACAAGTTTAAATTGTATTTTATATGAAAGTTTGTATTATTTCATTGTTTTTACTATTGTGACCCAAAATGATAATTGGTAGTTTTGTGGCGAACATACTGTATAACAAATTTCCTATCTGGATTCCTGTCTGCCGCTCAAGTGTGCGGTAGTGACGTCGCCTAACTCCCAGTGTTGAGGTGGGTTCGTGCGCTCTGCATGCCACCCCTCACTTTAAACTTCTGGCATTTCACCAGCATTGGTTCAAGCATAACTGCTGAGACACGTTATGTCAAAACCAGTTGCTTGCTCATGTTGACCCAATGATGCTGAAATGAATAACTCCCATAAAGCAATGTGGCTGACACAATGTGTAGACATGGGAAAGAGGCATATTTTCTGCTTATCCAATGTGCAAATTAAATGACATCAGAATTGGTTGCCTACTTTTTAAATGTAATTAGTTCAGCTCTGCCACATGTTGGTGCCTTGTGCAGCCTCAGTCCTTAAATGTACAGAGACTATTTACGAACATTCGACTTATGAACTTTCAGAGATACGAACAAACCTGTCCATATGTCCAGTTGCCTGTTCGGGCCGAGAATCTTAAGTTAAACCGCCGCGAAATAGATGGTGGTGGCGGCATCTACAGGAGATTATACAACTTTTAAAGTCGTTCTCCGTGTTTACTGTACATGCCGTTCATGTTTGAAATCGACAGGAGTAACATTTGACTTGCTAACAAATCCACTTACGAACAGACCTCTGGAACCTAAATTGTTCGTAAGTAGAGGAGTCCCTGTAATTTTATAACTCAAAAGAATTACTGTAGTCCCTTAGTTTAGCATCGTCTCCGTTTGAGTGATAATTTATCCAGAAAAGCCTCACCGAGTCTGACTTTCAGGAGGTACCTGCGAAGTTGTAGGTTGGGGACAATTGCGACGTCCATTCTAATCGAGTGCAATGAGAGCCATCTGCTGTAAAATAGCTGATGCATGGTTTCATGTAGCAGAGGCTTTAGATCAACGGTGTCACGAGGTGGGGGGAGAACATGCGTAGACAAAACATGATCTATAGTGAGGGATAATTGGTCGCCTGTTGGCCACATTGACATCGGTGTGGTTTCCCCTCGCCTTCATTCAACACGTGATCCTTATGGCGGTACCCTGGGGTACCAAATAATACAAAATGGCCGAGGCAATTACATATTTTATTTCTTGGACACTTTTTTCCAGGGGTGTACTTAACTCCGCGACTGGGGTACCAATCAATCCGAAATCAGTGCTACACAGCGAGGACGATTGCGCTGAAACCCTGAATGCTCGTACGCACCATGGTGGTGCATCGTGTACAGCTCGTCGAGATGAGTCGATTGCCGCATTGCCGACCATCAACAGACTAAAAATGACTGCATCACGGACATCATGCGAGAGTATGGTACCCCAGGGTAACGCCATAAGGTTCACTTGCTGCTGACAAGGCGTGCAGCCCAAGCTGATTAATTGAAATGTTCCCTGAAAAATTGAGCTTTTGAGTCTTATTGAATGTCTGTAAATATATTTTCTTGCTATTTCTACGTGTACAGTTGTAATTAAAGTTATTTATTTTTTGTGGATTTGTTTCAAACATTTTGTTGCTTATCACTCGAAACCATGGCGTGAAAACCATGTGGTGTATATAGAAATAAACGCCGGAGGCTAGAGTTCTGAACGGCTTGCGCAATTCTATAAATTGCATAGGCGAAGATTTGCTCCATTTCTGATTCCCTGTGGGATTTACACAAGGGGAATGCGTAACTTTCCGAGAGATGGTAAGAGGCGGGTGAGACCAGGCTTAAGACATTCCCGCGCAAAGTAACACAAACAATTAGGAACACGCATTCTCACTCGCAGATATAAATGCACACATACTCACAATGCTTAAAAAAACATTCATGACGTACAATGTACAACTTCATATTCTTAGTTTTTTCGGTAAAGTCACGTTGAAGGGAAACAACAAAATAATAAAATATATAATAAAAAAATTCTCACGACGTTTCGACCATAACTCAAACGGTCGTCTTCAGGTGTGTTGGTTTGCATACATTTATTTTTAAACGGCGCATTTATTTAGCAATCATTGGAAAGATTTGATAAACCATTTCAGGTCTTAATTGATTGTTCACGCTTACAGTGGCTTTCAGACAGCATACATTATAAAAAATTCGTCTCCCCCCTCCTCTTTTCAGAATATAGATGGACTAGTCCTAAATAAACTGCCAAATCGTTGCGCGTGGCGCTAACGTTTTTTTTATAAATAAATAAATGCGCCGTTTAAAAATAAATGTATGCAAACCAACACACCTGAAGACGACCGTTTGAGTTATGGTCGAAACGTGAGAATTTTTTATTGTTTTATATATATTTTATTATTTTGTTGTTTCCCTTCAACGTGACTTTACCGAAAAAACTAAGAATATGAATTACTGCAGTCACGAAAGCTTTAAATCAAAATTTAATGTACAACTTGTCACAACCAAGGGCACTGAGAATCACTGTGACCATGTTGCACACAGAGCTGATTGATGTAACAGCAGCTGATGTAACAACAGCAGCCATGTTGCATCGGGAATGCTTTCCTGGCAGCTGCTTGGCTGGTATGACGATAATCCCTCGTGATCACTGACGCGTGTGCATGATTGCAAAATGCCTGGGACCACAGATACTCTGGGTTTTGGCACTCGGCAATGTCACAGCACTCGAATCAATGCCTGGTCGGATTTACGTACATTTTAATTGGACAAGTGCCATCACCGTAAAAAAATGTTACCAAAGCAATCATACCAAAACAACACATTTCACCACGATAAATACCTTCTACTCGGGTATATATATATTTTTAATACATTTCCAAGGAACAAATGCCAGTTTGCAGCACGAGGACTGCTGTATGTTGGGATGAGATTGACAAAGGGAGACACCTATGGTGCACCAGTTCCTTACGCACGGCAAACATCCACCACAGGACTTCTAGCTGCCACACTCCGCTGCCATGCCACTTGCAAGCTGCAGTTTCTGCCGCAGGAAAGGCACCCTGCGTTCGGGTTGCAGCCTCTTCCACTGGCTGCTCGACACCTGTGATGCAATCACACGGCAAACAAGTCCCTCGCGTCGGTCAGATACATGTACATCCCTATTGTCGATCCACCGTTGGATGAAAGCCCCCCTACCCTCTCTCCACACACCTTTGTTGGCCATGAGGATTATTTGACCATGCTTCAGCACGCTCATCAGTGCGGGTTGATGTAATTGGGGAGCAAAAGATACGGGAGATTTTAAAGTTACATGATGGATTTTGCTGCGCTGTCCACAATGTAACAGTCCCACAGACGCCTATAACAAGCAGTTTGAAGTGTGTTTAACCATGTAGGCTTTTGCGACCAATATCCATAATACAGGTTTTTTTTTTAGGTTAGATCGCGTAAATATAAATGTGTCGCGAAACCCACCACCAACCGACACAGCCAACTAGTAAGGCTTGTAATGCAAACAATATGCCAATTCGTTACGAGTACAGCACACCTGTGTGTTGTTCGCCAGTTTGAAGTGTGCATGGTGGTCACCTAACCAGGGACTATCCAGGCTCAACACTGCTTGCAGTTGGGCTTGGTTGGTCGGGAATATCAAGCTTTTGGCTATAAGTTGGCCAGGAAATACCAGTATAGCAATAAATGTATCTGTGCAGTGCTGAGTGTTGCCTCATCACAAGCATGGGTTTTCTCAAGATACTCCAGTATCCTCCCAGACAGCAAATACTCGTGAATGGAACTGGGGGAAAATCCCAATTCAGACCCAATAAGACCTTCCTGGATAATTGGCATGTTTAGGATATAGGAATATAAAAGCCATTACCACGTTAAGCATGCATCATGGTGATTATTAGGTTTACAAAAATGTGTCCCTCTTCGCAATTTGATTCACAATTTGTGGGTCGCCAATCAAATATTTTTTTTTTACATTGTGGCGAATGTAGCACCTCGAGTGTGGCTGCAGAGGTCACGTGAACAAATCATAATGTACAAATCGAAAATCCGTCCATTCCTGGCACACACAAATTCGACACGTATATTTTGAACGTAATACATCGATTATAATTGATGAACCGAACGTATTGTCGCACGCTTGGTGGCAATGTTGGTGGCAATGTCGACAGCACCGCCTCCGCCGCCGACAATGCTGACTCACCAGCGTTACGCGGTAGCCCAGAGCGTGCAGGTTCCGCACCTTCAGCGCTAGCTTTCCACACGGGTGCTGGGACCCGAGGCAGAACTCAGCGGGGTGGCAACACAGCATGGCAACCCTGCAGCAGGGTACACGGATAAAAGGGCAGGGGCGCCGGGCGTATAGCACGACCACTACGAGCAGTGCCCACATCGCATCCCAAGCCAGTTACAATTGCAGCAGCACTCTTAAATCTCGGTTGAAAACTAATTTCTTCAGGACTGCTTTTTGTGTTTAGTTTGTTGTCATTCCCCCGCACCTGCAATTAACATGGTTGGTTATGTATGGTGTGAAAGAAGTTAATACATACATGGTTGAAATCTTAATAAAAATTACATTTTGATTCAATTAATTACGAAAGAAGTAACTGTAATTGAGCCCAGGTGTAGCCGATATCACCGGTGGTTGAGGACATAAGAGTCCAATGGACTCACCGCAGAGGCTTTGGGAGTGGATCCTCTCTGAGGATACAAACACCATCTCCAGGAACATGGAGGCAATCTCCCTGGTTGTGTGGGTTGTCTCCTGGGTCATGTAGGTGATCCTGCAGAGCAAGGCACTCATTTCCCTGGAGGAACTGAAGGACTTCTGTCTCCTGCAGGGTCACCTCGGCATCTGCACAAAGACAGGCTTCGCAGTCAAACTTTCATCAGGATGTTAGGTGTATGTGTGTATGTATGGTGGAACTTCTTCGCACCGTACGGAGCCAACCATACTAATCAGAGATGCGAGGGAAGGACAACAAACTATACAACAAAAATAAGTTGTAAAGAAATTAGTTTTCAATCTAGATTGAAAAGTGCATAGCTCCAGTGATTTCCTAATATCAGAAGAGAATTCCAGACGGCTGTAGAAGTGCATCAGAAAGCGCGCGATGCAGTGACCATCTTTGTTCGATGGTTAGCCAAAAGTTGCTGCTGCGAGGATGACCGGACTTAGCATCATTTGTGTGCACGAAAAAAATAATACCATGACTCCCCATGAATGTATTTTACGATGCTCGTTTTTTTTACATGTCACTTTTTGACACATATCCAGAAGATGCAAGTCCTTGGGGGTGGTTGGTGGGGGAAGAGTGGGCGGTTACATTACGGATTTTTTTGCACAAACCGGTGGAGAATTATGAAACAAATTATGGATACTGACAAGACACTAATATTAACGGGCGCATTTTTATTACAATTTTCAAGCTGTTGATTGCAATCCCAGTGGTCCCATGTGCCGCAAATTAGGTTCACGCTAGGCTTTCCTGCATGAAAGACATAATTAGTGTTGTGTAAAAACAGTGGGATATTGACATTGTCTCACAAGAAGATATTTTACGAAGCCCTTCAGGAATAATCATTCACCACATCAACAGTCAGCTACTGATGAGACTGCAAGGATTTACTGGCTAGTTGCCCACCTGTATACATGCAAGTAATTGTTAAAGTGCACGATTTTTATGTAATATTCCTCACAACAGGCCAAAAGGCTACAGCACAAAACCTCGTATTTTTCCAGTCTGAACTATCACGTCCCATTACTAATATAAGCCAAGAATGTGTGTGTCCTGTGCGTGACGTCACTCCACATGAGCCCCCCCCCCCCCCATCATTAATATCCATGAGCGGGTGGATTTTTACACTCATGCAGAAGGTCGAGCGGAAATCATTTTTTCGCAAATTCGCTTTATGTTTGACGTTTCTTTATTGAAAGTGGATCTAATAAATAATTCTACACAGCAACAAAGTGGATTTGGTGTCATTTATTTCTTCAGCACTTGAGACAAAAGGTAAGTCTAATTTACGCTTCTAAATTATGGTAAAATAGACATTTCTCGGCGATTTTCCAGATTTGTTTCAACCCCAGCGAGTGAAAGTAGAAGAAAATAATGTCTGAGCAAAGAATTTGAACAAATTGAAGGTCAGTTAAATACAGTGCTACAGTGACATGAAGTGAGGTGTTTTATGACGCAGTTTTGTGCAATAATCACTGCCATTAATACAGTGCTACAGTGAAATGCAGTTAAGTGTTTCGTGATATACTTTTGTACAAGAGTCACTGCCATTAAATTTACACAAGATAAAATTATACTCTGGTAATTTTTTTCCTAAATATTACAGCTTCTGTCCTAGGATGGGGAAAACAAGCTAGTTAGTATATAATTGAACGCTGATAACATCTGCACTTTCCTTCCTTGGTGGAAAAGACCATTTGCCAAACCGACAAAGCCATTCTTTGGTCAAACATGTAATTGAACATTAGAGATGTGAGATGGGCATCTCGTAGCACTGCACTGTGATAAACCTGCCACAACAGCAACAGTGCTCCGAGTCTTGGCATTTACCATTTGAATTGCGCCGAGTCGGCATGAATCCCTTGGGGTCAGGATGTGGCAAGGTAACATGTGACGGTGAAAGTCACCTTGTCCATTATGACAATGGCGGTGACGACGAAGATGATGATGATCATGGTGGCGTCAACGGTCACGAATACGACGTTGCTGACAATGATCGTGACGACGATGATGGTAATGATGACAGTTGAAATGACAGTGTCACTGATGTGAACGATGATGATGATAATAAAGACCACATTCTAAATTTGGTGCGACTACTTGCTTGGCTTGTGGACAGCTCACCTATACTGTAGAGCCCACCCACGGTGACCCCGACCCTGACTTGGCCGCTCCCTCGGAGGGCCTCAATCAGCACAGAGGGCAACTCAGGGCAGCGGTTCAAGGATGATGGGTTCGGGTCTGGGGAGGAGGGGGCAGCTTCCGCAGCAGGGACACCAGGGAGTTTCTTCTGCAGATGCAAGCTCAGCCTGATGGCCTGAAGCTCCAACTCATTCTGCAGGCACTTCAGAGAGTCTGCAGCCACTCACAAGACATAGATTCCACTCTTATTATAGCCTTAACATAATTTGAGGGCAAGTGCTGTTAGCCAGCACCAGTCTCAACACAACATCAACCGGGTGTCTTTTGTCTCCTAAGTTCAGTTGATACACGGCAGTGTTTCTCAAAACTCTGGGGCTCATGACCCAACCTGCCTTTCTCCACGTGCAGCTTTCCATGATGACTGATCGCAGTCATTCATATGCACGTCGAGCCACTCACTGCATCGTGCGCTTTCAGATGCGCTTCTGCCGTCGAGGAAGCCACTGGAGGCTATGCACTTTTAAATCTTAAGATTTAAATCTCACTTCTTTAGAACTCGTTTTTTTGTATTTAGTGTGTTGTCCTTCCCCCGCACTTCCGATTAGCACAGTTGGCTACGTACGGTGCGAAAGAAGATCAATGTACGTATGCACGGTGGTTTGTAATCTTAGAAAGTGGCATCGTGGGGGTGGGTCGCGTATAATAAAGGTTTGAGAATCACTCAAGAAGGGGGAGAATTTTTTTCCCCCACAATGGCTGCTACATAATGTAGTAAAGTCGCTAGAGTTGGTTACATAATACGAGCAAGAAAATGCCTTAAGCTTCCGAACTAAAATCAGTACAAATTAAGTCAGATGTTCACCTAAGGGGTTTGATGCAACTGGTCACTGCTTCCCAATGCTGCACATTCCTCACAAATACAATTGTAATAAAAAATTGCTATCATACTTACACAGGCCTTCGCTTTCGCTGAGTTCGTGATAGTCGATGTGCGTGTGCGTGGTCAACTAAAAGGACTTAAGGTGCGGAGTCCGTTATTATGTGATTAAATAAAGGACTTCAGGACTCCGGGGATCCGGCTGCTGACCTGAAACGCTCAGCAGCTGCGTGCAGGAGTGGTCTGCAAGCAGGGCACTAGCGACGGCGCTGGGCGGGCGATGGCCCAGGATGCACAGCGCCCGCACACCCACAAACAGCTCGTGTGCAGACAACTCCGGGAGATGATGCTCCAACGCCGAGCTCAACACCCCCAGGAACCTGCAAGCGGGGAGGCCCGGGGGGGCACAGGGACGAGAGGGCGAGTACAAAGTAAATGCCGGCACACGGAGACCAGCGCCTTGTGAGCCGTATGTGTACCGTTGTGTGGTATGGGGACGAGCCACTGACATGAGACGTCGTGTCCTTTATATTGCCGTCACAGTGGCCAACCAACCAACGCCTTGCGAAGTCATTACTTGCAATTGCAGTTCGTCGTGTACCAGTGTCATCACAGCCCACGTACGACTCACGTCTCGGCAGCCCCGTGCGGCTGGTGGTTGAGCAAGGAGTAGACGTGCAGGAGGACCATGAGGTTCTTCTTATCGAGGTGACACGGCTTTGGTTGCTCCTGCTGCTGCTCCTGCTGCTGCTCCTGCAGCAGGAGGAGAGCGACTGCATCCAGCAGGCCCGGGTGTCGGAACTTCAACCTGCTCAGCAGCAGCAGTAGGGTACATACCTGGAGTGCGAGACAGACAGATGTGCATGAAGTCACACACACACACACACCGGGAGAGAGAGGTGTGCAGGCAGTAATACACACACATAGGTAGGACAGTGGCGGGGGGTGGACACCACCTGCTATGTTGGCTGCCTACTATGTATTGATTCTGTCGGTCACACCACCAATAATCCAAATGGCAACCTCTTTAATCAAATGCACTTGACTGAAATTGTGCATGTTTGAATTGGCATCCATCCTATTTTAGTGATCATTTCATGAAGGTGGGTTTTTTTAAATCTTACCTGTTTTTGACTTTTTGCCACATGAAAAACAGATCATAAATAGATTGGCTCAGAGGCTAAGTACTGCCTACCAATATAATATTCTCCATAACTGAATGATTCTAGCTAGAAGTTGTGTTCATATATATGACAAATTAATATAATAATTTACATTTGAAATGTCAAAGCTAAGCAGGGAAAAATATAGACGATGGGCTTGTAACCGTGCTCCATAGCCGATCACACGTACATACGGAAGCGCGAACAAACAGCACACCCCAGTGGCGGCCAGCACGTCCCGTGAAATGGTGGTGACACGGCCTAGCGGTAGCGCGTTCGCAGTGGTGGATGGTTGTAATCCAGCGGCCCTGGTTATTACTGCAGTGTGTAATAACCGCGGTAATACTACGCACCATCTGCTCCATGGTGGATGTTAAAGATCCCTTGATGTAATTTGCATTGTGTGCCAGTGTGAGGGTCCAAAATTTGTCAAAATTCGAAAATTACACACAAATGACTCAGTTGGGATCAAATATAGCAAATCATCATCCCAGTATTGGAAGACTTATGCTCGAGGTCACTCCAGCAAATGGGACTTGCTGTGGTGGCAAGATGTTAACTCCCTTGCCTGGTATGCAGAAGGTTGTGGGTTTGATCAAGACCCTGACGCCTGTATGTCTGGACTTTGCATGTTCTCCCCGTGGTCACGTGGATTTTCTCCAGGTCCTCCGATTTTCTCTCCACATTTAGAAATATGCATTTAGAGTATTTGGCTGTTATAGATTTCCACAAAATAAGCCACTTTGTTGAGCTATCATTTGTGGCCAGGTTGCTTCTGAAAAAAGAGCTACATAGCTCAGTGGGCCTTACTTGGTAAAATAAAATAGTTTCTAACAAATAGTGTCTAGACTATTTGGGCCTCTCGAGTTCTCACCTGGTTAAACAGAATAAACTAAACAAAAAAAAACACACACATGCGCACGTGCCTCGTTCAAGCTGTAGAGTTGCAGGCTGGTGACGGCGTGTTCTGCGATGGAAGAGAAGAGCCGCGTGTTGTGGTAGCCCAGCTGGTTACACGCTTTCAACAGCTGCAGCAGCTCAGAGAACTTCAGCTCCTGCAGATTCCCTGGGAAGCAGCAGAGGGTGGGGCAACATAACGCTGATAAGGTGACTGGATCTGGACTTTCCAATGCTTCAAGTAATAGATATGCCACTGATTATGGGTTTTGTTAATCAACTAATTGGGTAACACAAACTTAGGTGGCATCATCAGCCACGTCGTGCTGGGCATGGCTTGTAGTGGGTTTCCCACCTTCAGGAGGCAGGATATCAGGGCGGCTGCCATTTTTAAAAGGGACTGACCACACATATTAGAATCCATCGCAATATAACTTGAATTTATTAATCGACTTGGCTCTAATTGTGACCGACGGAGGAGGGGGCAGGAGGGGCATTACATGGGGAGTTAAGCGTGGCTTCCTTCGTGTGCGTGCGTGCCTACCAGTGATGATCGGGCTGGCCGCGGACAGCAGCTCGGGGGCGTTGTGTTGCATCCGAGCGAGGCTGAAGAACAACCTGAGAACGTTGGCTGTTGTGAACTGATCCAGGACGAAGAGCGCCCACGCCTGCGTCTGTACCCACGCACAAACGCACGTTCAAGCGCGTGCATGTGCTGTGCCGGCGGTAACGAATCAGGGTCCGCGATGAACCAACACAGGGGCGAGGTGCTGGCAGACACCCTTACCACGAGCTTGTCCTTGAGGGCGGTTGGCACGGTGGGGCCCAAGTGATACATTAGCATCAGTAGCACGGGCACTCTGTCCACCTCGGGCAGTGCCAGCTGCGCTCGCATCGTGAGGGCAGCTCGCAGCGCCTGTGTGTTCCTGTCCTGCAGCAGGAAGGGCAGGCAGCTCGCCACCACACCCAGGGCTCGCCCGTTAAACTCATTGATGCTTACCTGCTGACAGGGAGGGAGTGAAGGGGGCAGCAAAGGGAGAACCCATGCTAAACGGTAGAGCTGCACATTTCACAGACAGTTGCATTACTACGCCCATTGCTCACAATGGCCATGACTAACAAATCTCTCACGGTGTTATAATTCATTTCAAATGGATTCTTATACTCAGAATACATGGATTGATAGTGTCTGTGGAAGGGATTGTGATTTGTATATGAAAACATTGCAACTATTATAGATTCTGAAAACAGGCCACCAAAGACAAAGATCCCCCGTATAGTCTTAACAGACTAATTGGGGCACGTGCTGTTAGTGAGCACCTATGAAGGCCAGCACGGCACACGAGGGGGTAGGTGACCAGCATCACGCCCGGCCGCCTTTGTTTCCCGAGTGGAGATGTTTACACACCGCACCAGCTACTCGTTTGAGGCTGAGTCAACCTAGGGGAGGCCCAGGACCGGTTCAGATAATCGACACCGGTTTTGGCCGTGAGCGTGAATCGAACTCGGGTCGCCGGGTTCGTAGCACAGTGTAGCGCTAACCGTTGCACCACCGCGCCACCACCACCCATACACGACACGGCTGTTGATCTTTCAGCGCTCCGTGCTCGACTTGCCTGCGCGGTGCGCATCAGCATCTGGACGAGGCGGCTCCGCAGCGGGATGCCGAGCCTGACGGCAGCGGCGAGCGTGTAGCCCAGGAGCCCAGGTGTCAGGTAGCGGCTCGTGCGCAGAACCTGCTGACACAGCCCCGGGAAGCGCGGGTGCTGCAGCATCCGACGCTGCTCGTACGCGGCACGATCCGGCGGTAGCGCCCTCAGCGTCCTCCAGCAGGCAATGAGCAGGGAGCAGGGCCTTGTGTCCAGCACATCCGGCGGGTGCACCGCAAAGTCGCCGGCACCCACGGCCGATGGCTCGCCGGCGGCAGCAGTAACATCCAAGTTCAGCACTTTAGGCGCAAGCCCGTCCAATGCGAGCTCCAAGACATCGCTTGGGGTTTCGCACGTGGCCAGAAGTTTGGCCATCTCAATTTTGGGTTCCAATAAGTCACCTTTTTCGGTAGCTGTTCCAACAAGTTCCGTTGCGATCGGTACCGCCCTCTTGGGGTTTCGTCGGCTGTTCCCTTGGTTTCTATTAGAACTTGCATTTCTACCATAAGCGATGACATCCGCTTGTGGGTCATCTATGGAAGTATCGTGCTCGGTGTTGCTCAGGCAACCAGCAGGCTTGCTCGAAGAAGTAAAATTACGCTCGTCGGCGGGGGCAAGCAATCTGCTCTCAGCATGGCCTGTGTCTCGTACCCCAGTTTCGGGTGTCAGACACGTTGAAAACGTCCGTTTGCATTGCTCAACATCATGGATGCTAAAGCGGGAGGACGTCTGAAACGGAAGGGTTCGGCACCGCCAGGAAGAGCTCCCGCACGCAGGAAAGGAGTTCAAGGATCGTGCCCGTGACGGGACGGCACCACCTCCAGCGAACAGGCGGCTGACGACACGGCCGTACATGACGATGAGCGTTGTCCGTCTGGGCCACAGCCTCAGCCACCGAGGTTCAGGCCCTGCTATGTCATCACCTCTGAACCGACAGCAGTATGCCAAATGTGGATATCTGTGGGGCAATGTACGATGCATGTGGTGAGTTAGTGCTCTCAAAGTCAAAGACACCACAACAAGGCAGGGAATGTGACACCTGCTGCTGTAATAAGACACATAGTAAAAATGTGAATAAGCCTTTCCACGCCGTGTCGGTGATTGGGGCTGTTTGACCATACTTCACCACCCTGATCAGTGTGGGCTGGTCAAGAGAGGGCACAGCACATGCTCGATTAGCCGTGGCCGGGAATCGAACTGAAGACGAACGGGTTCGTAGAGCAATGTCCTAACCACTGCGCCAGTTCCATCCCTTGGCGATACTGTGCACGAGTTTATTTTGCATGCGGAAATGCATTGCATGGTATAAAATCCTGCTTTGATACAATCACGCAATCCGATTAATTTAAAATAACGTTTGTCACCGAGTTCAGTCGGCCAATACCGTCGACATCATCTTGCTTCCCTGCCAGCAAACCAAAGTACGTACCCGTATTTCCTTCAAACCGCAAGTCATTACACAGTGTACAGTAACTTGCCTTCAGGGTATGAACAGGTCGTGTTGATAGGCCGCAATCGCGCGCCGTCAGTTACACGGGGAAGAGGAGGGGGGGGGTGGGCATTATCGCAGCAAGATATGTTTGTTCGCAGCACGAACAACATCACACCGTAACAGCGAGAGACCCGACTTGCGCAGAGCGAATTCCCACCACGCGCCTCACCAAGGGGGCTGCCATCTTTGCAATGAGGCGAGCGGAGTCGTGAGGGGGCATGTGAACAGACCCGAGCAATCGAGTGTCGCGGCGAGCCCAAGGCTGCTTGCACGTGTGTGGGATTGGCTCATCGATGCGATCGGTCGAACAATTGCTCGGGTCTTTTTTTTTGGTGTGAGGAGGAGTGGGGGGGAGAGAGAAGTCCTGGGGGAGGGGGTGTGACGCAGGGCGGTTGCCAAGGGAGACGGCGTGCCGTTGCCATAGAGACGGCTGCGGGCGCTAGACATGGCCGCGTTCGTTCTGGCGGGTGAGAGCCGGGCACCACCACCAACCACACCACCCCCCCCACCGTTAACCGGTTACCAACGTGGCGGTTACCGGTTACCGACGCCAGAGGGTTACCGAATTAGCGGCGCGGGTTTCGTTTGTATTCAGGTTATAGAAGGGGATAAAAAGATGAAGACGCAACTCAATCTTGAAACCAAAGACAGGTCCCTGCAGGGTGGGCTGGTAGAAGTTCGCAAATGAGATAATGTGACATCCAAATGTTGGGTGCAATAAGACATATCAAGTCTCTGCGCTGTCTATTGCCGATTTTACACCCAACAGCACGAGATTTCACTTCGTTAAAGTATTGAAAGGGGACGGACGGACGGACATTAATCTATTGCAGGCTGGTACACTCAGTTTACAACTTCGTTCCTACCAGTACGAGGCCTTCTCTCTCAACATCGCTTTGCGGGACACGTTGTAGGCCATTTGGCCGACAGGAGTTTAGGAGGCTTTCGCCACCGATATCATCCATAGTAGATGGGGTTTTTTTTGGGTTAGATCGCGTAAATATAAATGTGTCGTTAAACCCGCCACCACCCAACACAGCCCAATGAGTAAGGTTTGTCACGTGAACAGAACTCGGCAATTCGTGTCTAGTACAGCACACCGGCGTGTTGGAGAGCAGATGTACGAGTAACGAATTGGCGTGTTCTGTTTACGTGACTAACCTTACTAATTGTCTGGGGGGGTTTAACGACACGTTCAGATTTACGCGAATTTAACCGTCAAAGTAAAACGATATTATGGATGAGTTTGATACTTAATGACGAAACAAAAGCGACGTCGTTTGCAGCGAGGGAGGTCACTTTTAAAGTCGTGGGGTTTTTTTTGTTATCGATGAAGCTTAAACCTTGTGCTATATCTATAAAATGGGCAAATATTAATATGCTTTATTTAAAAAGTGGTGTGATCAGAATTTTTTTTAGAAAAGTAACTCTCATCAGGCCCTCACGGTGTAAACAAGTGGAGGATCAAAATGGTATTATCCACTTTGCCTTTCTAGCCGCTATGTATTACGCTATGAATAAGGGGTATTGCCCGAAACGTCACCTATTACAGTAGACTAATCCAGCCATTGTGTTAATTTATAGCTGGATCAGAGCCACCCTACACTGGCGGATTATGGAAAGTTAACTCACAACATTTCACCACGCTGGTCGGTGTGGGTTGGCGAATGTAGGGAGCATAGATGTGGGAGCATAGTACAATACAACAATGTAGCATGCTGCACTGGCCTCTGCTTCCAGGAACATAATTGTCAAGTGTGGTATTTACACTACTGTCATAATGAGTTGAATACGGTAATCACACAACCATTTATTATTTCTGTTATATTACAGTATTTGTATAATTCTTACAGATACAGTATATTACTGTTTTAATCAATGGCATGAGTAATTATGGGTGTGTAACAATGTGTCAGAATTATTTCTTAAGTTCACCTATTTATCGTAACACAAATACTCCTTTCAAGATAAACATTTACAACTAGCCTTTTGCCCGTCCAAGGACGGGTGTATTGCAGTAAATTTGAAACTTGCAAGCGAAAAGCACAGACCGCGACGTGATATATTCATTGCATCAATTCGTGTGCAATTTGTAAGGCCGCGGTGACACAGACCTATTTCATTTTAAGGTTATAATCCCTTGTTCATCATGACGTCCTTTTTACTTCGATGTCTCAACAACAACGTCACGGAGATCACGTGACGTGAGGGTTCTGTCTTTGTAGTGAGGGTTGTCAGTTGACGCCCCCCCCCCCCATGTGGCGTGACGTCACCCGCTAATTAATATTAATGAGGGGGTCCATGTGGAGGACGTCACCTGTTCATGATTCTTAATGAGGGGGGCTGTTCGATGTGGAGTGACGTCACCTCATGATTATTAATGAGGGTCCATGTGGAGGACGTAACCTGTTCATGATTATTAATGAGGGGGGCTGTTCGATGTGGCGTGACGTCACTTACTCATGATTATTAGTGAGAGGGGGGAGTACTCCATATTGAGTGACGTCACCTGCTCATGAATATTAATGAGGGGTGGGGGGGGTGTCCATTTGGAGGACGTCACCTGCTCATGAATATTAATGAGGGGGGCTGGTCGACGTGGAGTGACGTCACGAGCGTTAATGACATTCCTGGGTGATGATAGTACGTATATTCTAAAGTAAACGTATACAATACATATAACACATCAAACTTCCTAGTGCACATGTATGTATATCTCGTCAAGGAGCATAAACCATCACGCGATCTCCGGTCATCATCCTCACAGTAGCGGCTTTTGGCGAACCATCGACCTTTAGACGGTCACTGCATCACGCGCTTTCAGATGCGCGTCTGCGGCCGTCTGGAACGCTCTTCCTTACGATGTTACGAAGCCACTGGAGCTATGCACTTTTAAATCGAGATTGAAAAGTAATTTCTTTAGAACTGCTCTTTGTGTTTAGTTTGTTGTTCTTCCCCCGCACCTCCAATTGGCTATGTACGCTGCGAAAAAAGTTCAACATACATCATACTGTAGGACATCCCACACAAAGGATATATCTGTATGGTAACTTGATCTTTAATCCAATCAAAATTCTTGGAGCCTACACCTTTACAGTTTGTGAATGTAGGTGAGTTGCACTGGGAATGGATGCCCATCTGTCAATTTCTAGAAGCATTAGACACATCACACTCATGATCACTGTGGAGTGATTGGGGTGGAGCTCACGTTAATCCGAGAGAAAGGAGTCTGCTTATTGGAAGAGACATTGTTAATTATTGAGTAGAAGCCAGGAGCGTAAGCAGGTGTTTCACACTAGATGAGCACAGAATAGCGAGCATCGCCACATAAATCATAGATATTTTTCATTAAAATATTTCAACGGAAAAAAAGAATTACTGTACTGAACCAAAGCTGTGCATCACTTGTGTATTCAAGCATTTAATTACACACTGCACAATATTTTAAATGACAGCATATCTCATCAAAAACAGGTTCCGTTCTGAATGAACAAATGCATACTCTGGGCTGTCATTGTTTTTTAAAATAAATTTGCTTGGTGGCATATCTAGTCATGTGTGTTCTGATGCTCTTGTTAATAACTTAGGTTTATCCATTGTCGCCTTCACAAAAACATGACATTTGTTGTGTATGCCACCATTTACCATGACAGCACATGATATATAATGAACCAAAGACCACCCAGTGCCTTGTGACGTTTCTCTTTCCATCAGGACGTGCCGACTGCCCGTATTACGCTAAAGCAGAGCTCCTCACCGACTACTTGCAACTCAATTTGCCCAGCTTCAGAGTCCACAAGATTCCCGTGCTCCCAGAGGAGTGGGAGGTATTTTCGTTGGTCTTAGTTCTCTGGGATTTTTTTTATTACACTGATACCCGTCCCCAGGTGATGCATGGAGTCGTGCTCTAGTGAATGATGATAAACCTACAGCTCTATCCAACTTGTGAATCGGGAACTCTTTCACACCACAACGGTATTGTCAGCCTTTGACCATTGTACATTCCTGTCGCACACACAAATGAATGACCCCGTCTTGTCAATAAATCAGTTCTTTTCTATTAGTCATAGAACAATCCTTTGAGCCATGTAAGGTCAATCTGCTACTCATAAAGGACAATGCTCAATTTACTGTCATGCAATTGCATTGCTCAGTAATGCTTCAGCAAAGTGATAAATAATTGTGACATTGCAGTGTCCTTCAGAGTTTTTTTTTATTCCTACATCTACAAGACTGCACTCTGAATCAAGCACATTTAGTAGGTGGTAAACTTGGTACACATCTGCAAAGCCAGACATGTCAGATTATGTCGTCATGGAGAAAGTGTTCATGTGTTGGGCAGGCCTGGTTGAGCGCCACATGTCGGCAGCATGGCTGGCGCCACACTACATCCCCGCTGGTGTGGCGAGAACTGGTGGAGCGGGGCGGCCGGGGGGCTCTGTTGGGCGGATACAACGACTTCATGGAGTATGTGCAGGTCAGTGGCAGAGCGTGGTTTGATTGGGCCCTGGTGCAAGGCACGAAATGGGACCGCATGGCTAATTTCCCTCTCTGCATAGCCCGGCGCCTGGGGCCCCTATGGCCCATGGGCCCCGATGCAGTTGCACTGCCTGTGCGCTCGATAGCTGCGCCACTTATAAAAAGGTCCTGGGGAGCCGCTATTAGGGGCACTTTACTGTTTACAAAAGTCATGCGCTTTGTGTAACAATATTTTGGGAAGAAAAAAAAAGCGTGAACCAGTGTTCCGTGAAAAGGCAGAATGGTCCATTGTTAGAATTGTATTCAGTTTAATTTAGTGTTAAAAAACGATTACACAACAAGCTTTCTTTTGCAGATTACTATTCAGAACATAAAATTTAATAAATCCATGCATACGCATACAAAAACCAAACGTTGCAGTTATGAGGTGTATGATTACTTATGTATTCAAGGAATGCAATTATGCATTACCTTGACGTCAATTAACCTGATTGGCTATGTGACTGTGATATAACAAAATGGTGTGTACGTGAATTCCAGTGATAAACTTAAGAAAGGATTTTGAGAGTTCTGGAAGACTTCGACATCTTTAAACATGTATTATGATAGTGAATACAATCTGAATGTTCGATAATGCAAACATATGCATCATATGTTTATATGCATCATATGTTTGCCAGAATAATGATAGACTGCTTCAGAACATTGACATTTTCAAGGCTAGACAACACCGCAGAGCACAAAGCCA